GAGTGGCAGACAAAATGAGAAAACAAAGAAATAAATCCCAAATGAAAGAACAGGGGAAAACACCAGAAAAAGAACAAAATGGAGGCAAGTAACCTACCAGATACAGAGTTCGAAACACTGGTTATAAGGATGCTTAAGGAACATAGTGAGAACTTCAACAGAGAGACAGATAGCAAGCAAACAAGGATATAGAAACTATAAAAAAGAGCGAGTCAGAAGTGAAGAATATAATAACTGAAATGAAGAATGCACTAGAAGGAATCACCAAAAAATGAGGATAGTTTAAGAGACCTCTGGGACAACATCAAGCATAACAACATTCACATCACAGGGATGCAAGAAGGAGAAGAGAGAAAGCAAAGGGTTTTTTGGTTATTTCTTTACCAAAACATGAGACAATTTGAAGACAATTTTTTTCTTAAAAATTAATTTTGCCAGGATAAGAAAAATGTTAATAGCTTTAAACTATTCTCATTAAGTTTGGATTTTAATGACAGCAGTAATGCCATTATAAAAAAAATAATAAAGAAAAGCATGAACAGAAAAATAAGTCAGCCACCATGTCAGCACATTTCCTTCTAGGCTTTTCTCTCTGCAATACATTGGGTTGTTGGAAAAGTCATGGTGTATTTTTTCTGGGTTTTGTTGCAAAAATGTGTCATGACTTTTCCAACAACCCAATACATCACACACACACACACACACACACACACACACACACACACACACACACACACACTTTGTGACCTAAAATTCCTACTAAATTTTGATTCCCACTTTCTTTCCCCCAAATAATTCATAATATGAAATCACTCTCATGATATGAACAGTTGCATAAACACGTTTGTTGCCTATATAATCAATCAAGTGGATGTTTAGCTGTTTAGATTCTAGGGCACTTGAGTTGCTTCCAGTAGGTAGTTACTATAAATAACTTCACAATGAAGGTCTTTGTGCAAAAATTCTCAATCCACACCTGTTGGGTATTTCCTTAGGTTTCCAGAAGTGGAATTAGTGGGCCAAAAACATAGAAATACTTTTTCTGCCTCAGATGCATCTTGCTTTTCCAAAATAAGATGAGCCGTTGATCACTTGAAAAGGTTGAAAACAGATTCTGGTGGCTACGTGGGACCATGGCTATAGAACAGCAATATTTCCTTCCATTTGTGGGGCTTTTTTATTATTCTCACAAGTCTTGCCACACTCCTCCTGAGGCAGAAAGCATTCAAACCAAGAGAGGTTGGTAAGTGACGATGGTGTCAGCACAGAAGCTGCACAGAAGGGTCTCCTGCAGGGCAGGCTCCCAGCTCCCAGCTGAGCGCCCTGGCTGGGCCGCTGAGGGACCACAAGGTCCATCTCAGCACCAAGGGGCTCCCAGGACAGAACACTGCTGGGGGTTAGAGCTGGGGATTTTACCCACAAGCCCCTTTCCGCCCCTCCCTTTCCCCTCCAAGCCAGCTGGAGCCCCCTGCCCATCCAAGCCTCCCCTTAAAGCCATTCTCTGATCTCACTCAGACCTTCAGTCTTCGGTATCCTCTTGCCCAATTTCAGTGGGATGACAAGGTCCAGAATAGGGCAGTGAGGGCTGACAAAGCGTAATGGCTGGGCAGGGCAGGGCATTGGCGCTACAGGCTTTTATGAGTAAAATCTGGAAAGCTGAGGCATCGAAGTATTGGGGCAACATAGTGGTAGGTTTTTCACTATTTTGATGAATACGGGTCTCTGCAATATCGTAGACCAAATCTTTCACAGTTGTGTTATTCTAAAAGCTACACTTTTTCCCAATGGGAAGTTGGAAGTCAGGGGTGGGGGGAGGTACATCCGTTCTGAGGAACCTCTCTACCCGCTCAGAATTTATCTTAATAGGACTATGGTCATTAAGGAAAACCAAAGTGAATGATTTTCAAATTCTACATGTTTTATGAGAAAGAACAAACACTTTAGAAAGAAAAAGTTTGTGATTTAGAAACATCAATAGATGCAAGCCACACGCACCAAAGCTTTCTAGGGTCCTCTATAATTTTGTCAGTTTCTTTCAGATTGGAAAGATGTCCTGAGACCAAAAAGTTTGAGAGCTCCTGCCTTAATATATGAAGAATCATACAGGTATGAAATCCTGACTGTAAAATGTTGGTCTTCAGGGACTGCCCCTCCCTTATTCAATGAGAGTTCACTCACGTTTTTAAAAAAATTAAAAATCTACAGATCTGGAGAGGAAATCTTTAGCTGTAATGCATCCTTTAGTCCACATCAAAGAATTTATACTAGAGGAACTGCACAAATGTGGTTATCATGGGGAAACCGTCACTTGTAGCTTGTCTTTGCTAAACATGGAAGAGCCCACACTGGGAATTGTGTGGAAACCCTGAGTTTGGACTGAGAAAACCTGTAGCTCATCCTTCTCTCGACATGAGAGAACATTCCAGACAGAAAAATCTGTAAATGCACTAAACGTAGAAAAAAACGGTCGGCGTCAAAAAACTCATACTGACAGAAACCCTTTTCTATAAAAGTAACTAATGAACAGGCTTCCATCAGAGACCCTTTTTCACTGGGTAAGAGAACTCACAGGAGACAAACTTTTCTTCACAAAGAACTGAGGCTTAATCTAACAGTCACCAGCTGGGGTTAGATGCTTCTGAATGAATCCCACCGAAGTCAACAGTATTCAAGGGTTATCGAAGTCAACAGTATTCAAGGGTTATCAGTCAATAAGGACCCCAATGGGGGTTTGCTGTTCTGCAAAGTCTGAACTAGAAAAATGCATGTAACATTAAATGCAGACACACATATGCATTGTCTTTTGACATTTTAATTCACTCAAAAAAAGCTCTTGAACACCTGCTCGGGGGACCAAGCACCACATTAAGGCACGGGGCTGGGGGTGGGGTTTCCAAATGGCTGTGACTGCGTGGCCAGCCTGCCACACGTGGATGGATTAGAAGGGAGCCTGAGATAGGAGCTCTTTTAGGGAGGATCAGATGGAAGGTATTTTATCACTTAAATCAGGCTGTGTACATAGCTTGCCGTTTTGATAGAGGACTCTTTCCATTTGTAACACGCCTTATCCTAAAATTATGTAGATTTGGCGTAGAGGAAATACTAAACTACAAATGTTGAATAATGACAGAAGTGAGACACATTAAACAAACAAAAACACACTGAAGCTGCCTTATGCTTAAGCAGAAGTTTTTAGAGGATGACATACAACGACCGACTTTTATAAAAGTGTAAGAGCACAAGGACACAGACCCAGCTCTGTCAGAAACCAACTAACTGGTAACCGGAGGCAGGGACGGCCTGGTTGCTGAGACATCACGCAGAATTCTTCCTCTCACAACCAAAAGATTAAAAGGCTGGCACAAAATATGCAACATTGCTTCTACCTCCACTGATTGTAATGCCAAATTATACTCTCTCAATTATCTGCATTCAAGCCTTCATGCTGTGAATAAGCAAAATAAAACATTTGACCAGAAGACTTGAAATTGTTGACAGCATAGTTTCTGTGCAATCAAAACCAAAAGGAGGAACTCGGGAAGGGTGGGAATGAAGTGATAATAGAAGAATGCTAGGAAATACAGAACAAAATTCCTAGAATAAAAAATTTCCCTTCAAAAGGATTGTTAGGCCAAGAAAGAAAAATTCCCCCAAACTCCTTTTTCAACAAGTATTTCAGGAAGGTCAATTAAAGTTTGGCTTTATTCTAGAGGGAGTCTTTTATTTGTTTTTTTTAGAAAAACAAAAATACTGAGTTTTAATATCAGAATGCTTTTATGTCTCTTTATTATTCAAACTTCATGTCAAATTACAAATAGTCCACAGCATGTAGCTTCTTTATGATGTACACTTCTTCAGGCAGAAAATAGCAATAGCCAAGTAAACACCGAAAATGAACTCACAGTAAATAACCAACGGGTAAGTATAGAAAGGGGCCGTTCCATTTCAGTGTGGTCCTATATGACGTTGTTTAAAAGTGGATCCCCTGTAAAACATCACAGGTGTACATAATTTTCTTACAAAAGATCACAGGGACTAATTGTTTAAAAACTCTGCATCTTGTGAATTTTAGCCGGAAGGTGATGCCAGGTTAATCTCTTTTTAAACATTGCTGAAAAACTTGCAAACTGTAGAGAACATTAATGGATACCAAATCCATTACTTAAAAACGAAGTACTACTTAGAAAGTGGATAACACCTTCAGCCTTGTTATCATAAAAACTTTTTAATGAAGTTGAAGCTAAAAAATACCAGCAGGAGGGGTGGTGGTGTGGGGAGAAGGGAAGGGTGGAGGTAGTTGACTGTCTATGTGCTAGTAACTAAACTTACTGTTAACAGGAAAGGTTTAGAATTCTTCAGCTTCTCCAGAAAACAACAGGTCTTAGGAACCATTCTTTTAGGCACTATAGTCAGATGTGTGTATCAGATGTAGCAATTCACTCTGAAATTCCAAGTTTCTCCCCAAGTATCTTCTGGTTAAACCGATATTTTTTAAAATAGAATTATAGTTTGGGGGTGTTTTGTTTTGTTGTTTTTTAATCAATTTTTTTTCTTTTTGCAAGGATAACATTAAAAGATACTAGTTTTCAAGTCCCTAAAGATGGTTTGGGGTAGGAGAGTTATTTGTTTGAAAGGGGATTCTACTTATTTAATTTCCTATTCTGCTGTGACATCTAACACCAGGCATCTGATATTGTTAGGGCGGAATTCTAAAAAAATGAGAAAAATGGAACTAGATACCAATTAATCCAGTCTTATTAGGTATTTCTGAAGAGAAACAACTTTTATTCTGAATCAGTGATCAGCTACATATTTACCTGACACTATTTCAAGTCACAATTTGCAATATTTCTCCATTGGAGCACTGAATCTTTTATTTCTAAATACAACCTTTTAAAAATCATTTGAAAGCAAACAATTATTCTGAAGGTAAAGCATATGAAACAAATTCCACTTATCCTGATTTTAATTTTTAGATCACAACATCGTGATAAGAGAGGTACCATTTAATTCCTTTATTTTAACTTCTTGGCAGTTTTTCCAAACTTTATAATAAACTATGACAAGGAGAAAAAACATTCAAAACATAATACAAATATACAAGAATACAAGTCAAGTTCAAAACAAAACACCATATTGCAGTAGCTCCAAGAATGATGTGTTTGTGATATGACCAAAAGCTACGTACGGGGCCCCAGGTCCTCAATACTCCCTCCATCCTAGACAGATCCGTGCACATCTTTCCTATGTTTCTTTTGCCTTTTGATGCCTAAAAGTAAATGAGATCAAGAGAACAACTGACATAAGAAACATGGTACTTATGACTTTTTAAAGTTTTGATTTGAACACATCTTAATTGGTGCAATATTACTACTGCTCAAATAATAGACAAGCCATACATAAGAAAAGACACTATGTATCTTACAAGCAGTGTTTTTAGAATCACAAGTAACTTGCACACTGACATAAACCCCTACAAATTAAATCTTAACTCACCTCATTAAGCTCTCATGTAAATTAGTAACAATAGTATTATTTGAAGCATTCTGAATTATTTCATTTTCTAGGGTAAAAAGGTTATGGCAGAAAGGAAGGGTAAGGTGCTTTTTAATAAGCTACCAATAGACACTGACACACACGCGCGCACACACACACACCAGCGCAAACTATCAAAAGAGAATCCTAATTTTGAAGTGAAATAGATTAAACATCTAGACTAAAGTAGGATAGAATAAATTTCCATTATTAACGTGTCATAAATATAGACAACTCATATGGTCAATGAAATGAAGAGTAACTTTCTATCCTTTGTTTTTTAAGTTCTACCCTGTCTAACTTTTAGAGTGAATTGCTTCCAATTCTAAAAGTTTAGGTATTCTCCTGGTTTCAATAGCTAACCAGACTAAATACTTTGATGGGAAGCTAGCAGAGATTAATTATCCACTGGTGCTACACTGGCTGTGTTTTCTTCCTTGTTATTATGCCATAAAACCCTCTCCTGCTATTTTGTTTCATGCAGCACCAACCAAACTTTTTTTTTTCCTAATAAAAATAAATATATAAAGAAGACGCTGTCAAGCATATATTCACAAAGTCTCAATTCCTTAAAACATAAGTATGGGTATATTTATTTCTCTCAAATGCATACAAGACAATAATTACACAGCAACAAAGGTTTTGTTCAACAATGATTTGATTCATAAGCATTTGAAATTTACATAATTTCACATCCATACCCTTGCATTTTTAAATACTGTAAGTAAAAAAGCCCCCCAAATAACCAATTCTTATATTTCCTATTTATCCCTCTATACATCCAAACTTTAAAAAGTTACAAACTGAACATTATACAGAACATATAAATCATGTTTAAAAACTTGAGGTTTCAAAATCTCTGTTCCTCAGTATGATTCAGAAAAGTCCTCATGCTGACAAGGGCAGTCCTAGGTGGTGGAGCCAATTACAAAGGGGAAGAAAGAAGAGACAGACACAAGTTTGCTGTCTTAACATTTTACTCATCCTGTCAGTTAAAAACGGTGATGTCACGAGAAAGAACAGTTTAGGTTTAATATGAGGAATGGAGTTTGCCTCACAGTTTGAGACATGCATTTCAAGTATTTTCCTATTTGATCTGAGCTCCCTGTAGCAAGCTGGTGCCGAAAGAGAATCATTTTCTTCCGTACATCCGCTCAATGTCCGCCTGGTAATGTGTTTTAAGCTCTTTGCGTTTCAGCTTGAAGGCATCTGTCACCAGACCAGTTTCAGGGGTCCAAGGTTCAGGGCTCAAACGAATTTTCATTGGAATTTCAAACTTTTCCAGACTTGCTGAGATGGTGAAACAACAACAAAAAGTAAATTCAAAGTCATGAAAAATGTACAATTAAAATTCTTAGTCAATCGTGTAAATTCCCTAGTCCTTGAGCACTCACTAGCGGCTCATGAATTCACTTCTAAGCAATCTTTCCCTCAGAAATACCAGTATAAGTAAAAATATAGATGTGTATCAGAATTATAATAGCAAAAAAACTTTCAAATACATGTCTGTCAATAGAATGAGTTAGATTATGATACAGGCATAAAACAGAATGCAATTCAGTCATCAACAGTGAGTTAGATCTGTACGATATGGACGTGTAACGGGCAAGATTTTTTTTTAATCCTAGATAAACTTATATGCATCTATATGGGTAGGCTAAGAACGATACACCCCAAACTCTAAACCATATATACCTCTAGGGACGAGGATCCAGGATTAAAAAGAAGGGAATGTCACTTTTTACTTTAGACTTACTTATTTTCTTTGAATTTATTATAAAAAGCATAATCACTTTAGAAACTAAAAAGTAATAAAGGTTTAAAGAGAATCTTGTCATTGAACCAGGATACTCACTGTAAAAGCTACGAAGGACAGAATGTTCACTCACTATTGTGTCCCCAACACACTGTCTGACACCCAGGCTTCTCAACAGTGAGGGGGGAGGGGGGGAGGGAGTTTAAGGTCTAAGTGTCTTGGAAACAAAGAGATATATTAATTCTAACTTGTAAAAATAAACACAGAGATAACAAACAAGGCTTTACTCATTCTTCAAAGATCCAAGAATTCCAGGAGTGGTTTCCAAGAGGAAAAACCACCATGCACAAAAGCAGCAAGGCTCAGCCCACAGCACTTCAGGGCGGAGGAGTCGATGTCACTGAGATGGAAGGGAGGGCGGAAAGCAAGCGCTGGAAGACCAGTCAAGCTTTCAGATCTCCAACTGCTCAGCACAGCGCTCTACGACCTGACTCGGTATCAGCTACACCAGTGTTTTAGGAAAACAAACACAGCTATGACCACATGACCAATTAAGGAAATGAGGACTGTAATAATTATGGGTGTTTCTTCTTTATTTTGTTGTATACATATTTTTGTTTTCTTTCCTCCTTATTCTCTTAGACATCATGAAATATATTCATAAGTTAGCTTGATATCACAGTATTTAACTTACAGGGTGTTAAAGGAAAAGAGTAAAAGGCACTCAAGGGGTCTGCATCCTTGTCTGTAAAAAGGAGTTTTCAGTTGCACACAGGACAGCTGGACCATGTATGGCAGGCGCCAAGTCTGACGTCATTACTGTCTTTACTGGAAATTAACTGTGGTTTGAGGAGATGCACAAGATGCACAAGGGTGGACTGTGACAGTCAGTGTGACTATGCGTCAGCTGGCTAGGCTGGAGTTCCCAGATATTCAAGTAAACATGAACCTAGGTATTGCTCTGAAGGTATTTTGTAGATGTGATTAAGTCTATAATCAGTTCATTTTACGTGAGAAAAATTATCCTAGATAATCTCAGTGGGTCTGACTGAGTCAGTTAAAAGGCCTTAAAACAGAGCTGAGACATCTGTGGACGGGAAGAGGCTCAGCTCGTGTCGGACTGACAGCTCCAGTCCACCCGTGCAACAGTCAGCCCTACTGCTCGCCAGCTCTGCCTCGTCAGCCCCCAATAATCACGCATACCGCTTCCGTACAGTACCGATTCTGTTTCTGTGCTGTAAAGCTGAGTAATCTACATTTCACTTAAGGATGAAACTGAATCCCTTCTTCACATCACATATAAGAACTCAAAATGGATTAAGGACCTAAAGGTAAGAGCTAAAACTAGAAAACTAGAAAACACAGGGGTAGATCTTTGTGGCCTGGTTTAGGCAGGCAATGGTTTCTCAGATGGTGATGCCAAAAGCACAAGCAACAAAAGAAAAAAATTAAATAAATTGTACCTTATCAAAATTAAAACTGTTGTGCTTTCAAGGACACCATCAAGAAAGTAAAAACAATTCACAGAACGGGAGAAAATATTCACAATTCACATATCTAATAATAGACTTGTATCTAGAATATATTAATATATATAAAAAACTCACACGATTTAATAATAATAAAGGACAAATAATCTCATTTAGAAAAATGGGCAAAGGATCTGAATAGACATTTCTCCAGAGAAGATATACAATCGCCAATAAGCACATGAGAAGATACTCAACATCATTAGCCATCAGAAAAATATAAATCAAAACCACAATAAGATACCACTTCACACCCACTAGGCCAGGATGGCTAGAATCAAAAGGCTGAACAATAACAACGGTTGGCAAGGATGTGGGGAAACTGGAACCCTCACACGACACTAGTGGGTATGAAAAGGGAGCCACCACTTTAATAGTTGGGAAAAAAGTACTCTGGAAAACAGTAGTTCCTCAAAAGGCCCGACATAAAGCTAACACAGGCTCAGCAATTCCACTCCTAGGTATCTACCCAAGGGAAGTAAACATGTCCACACGATAACTTGTATATGGATGTTTACAGCAGCAGTATTTAATAACAGCCCAAGTGGAAACCACCCAAATGTCTACCAATCGATGAATGGATAAACAAAGTGTGATGCATATCCACGTGATGGAATATCATTTGGCCATCAAAGGGAATGAAGTATTAACACATGCTACAAGGAAACATAAATGAGCATGGATGAACATTATGCGAAGTGAAAGAAACAAGTCACACACAAAAAAATACATTGTACGATTCTACTTATACAAAATCTCCAGAATAGACAAATCTATAGAAACAAAGTAGGTTAGTGGTTGCCAAGGGATAGGAGGTTTGGGGTATATGATGGGAAGTGGCTGCTAATGGGCCTGGGGTTTCTTTTTGGAGTGATGACAATGTTGTAAATCTGGTCTGACTGTAGTGAGGGCTGGACAGTTCTATGAATATATCAAAAACTATTTACTTGTACACATTAAACAACTGAGTTGTTTGGTATATGGATTTTATCTCAATAAAGCTGTTAAAATATAATATATAAATATATATAAATAACATTTAAAAATAAGCAAATAAGTATATAAATTTAAAATTATGCATAATTATTGTTTCAGTACGCTCGCTATCTTACTTTGAAATTATGTAGGTTTCTAATGAATGTCTTAACTCAATTTAGTCTCAATCCAAGGTTTCAAATTACCACAACTTGTTGGAAACTGCAAGCTGATATACTAACAAAACATAATTACTGTTGAAATAGAGGGTCAGAGTAATGATTCCATCTGGTTAAATGCAATTTGTATTTTTCATCAATGTGAATAACATATCTGAAGAGAATAGAAGTGCATACCTGTATTATACTTAATGCTGATGATCAGAAGGTATAGCTGTTTTTATGAAATCAACATTAAACTAGTCTCATTGCCCCCAACTCTCCCAACACGCACAGACACACAGGGCATAGGACATGTTAGTACAACCAGCTAACAGTACACTAACTGTAGAAAGTGTAAAACAGAGTCTGGAACGATTCACCATGGGCTGGGGTGGCCAGGAGACAGCTGAGGGAAGTAGAGAAAAGGCCAGCCCAGAAAACAGAAGCCGCAGAGATGAGACCATTCTGACACACGTACGCCAGGCAAGGGAGTGGATGGCTCGTGTGTCCCGCAGCAGGGCTTGAAATGGGGGGCTGAGAAGTATGTTCTTCTACCTACTCATGGTAGGAAAACTCGATTGGTTTCTGAGCAGGCAACGATGTACCCTAAGCCTTGTAAACATAACAGGGTAAACAAGATTTAAGTACTCTCCTCCCATCTCAGTTCTTGGAATGAGTTTAACAATCACTCACCTGAAATAGCAGCTTCAGAAAGCACTTTAAGTACCTCGTTTTCCATTTCACAACTGTTACACAGCTCCTCCCAAGTCCCTTTAAGTCCTTTCTTTCGAGCTAGTTCTGTTAGTTCCTTTTGATTTGGCACAACAAATCCAATGACATAAGAATGAAAACTGAAATATATAAAAAACAACTTAGCTAAGGAGCTAAATGGAACACCATGTTAATTGCAGTTACTGATTACACTGGCATTTCAGTAACCAACTCTACTGGTTTTAAATAAAATGCATGAGGCATATTTGGTACGTGGCACACTTAGTCCATGCAGCACCCAATTTTATGGTCTGATTCATAATGCCTTCCAATGCTTTGGCAGAGTTCACTGCTAAATAAACCTCAATCTGACATTTCATGATCAATTTCAACTATTCATAACTATTACAAATAGTGCCATGTACACATTTTTAAAAGAAAATTATAAATATTAGAAAATTCATATTTAAAAAAATCAGTAATTCACATCAACAGGTTAAACAAAAACAAAAGCTAACGTAAATTAGAAAATGCACCTAAAGAAATCTGGCAGCCAATCAAATTAATGTGACTATATTTATTTCCTTCTTTTGAGAAAATTTTTGTTGCTGGAGGAACTGCGTGTGCCAGCTGAAGGCAGCAGCCTGAGGACAACAGCAGCAGCATCAGGGCAGTTCTGGCTAATGCCACGCAAGGAAAACCCAGAAGCACAGCATCGCTAATGAAAACACTTCATGAAAAGGCTGAATCGTGTATAAATCAATGTAATAAATCTTTAACTGGGGCTGTCCCTTAAAGTCTGTTTCTAAATTGGCTCTTCTGATACCAGATCTTATTTTTTTCATAATAACTATTATGTCAACTGCTGTAGTAAGGTTCCTAGGCTGGCCACAAAATACCTGATCATTAACACTGGAGAATAATTACCACCTGCAGCACTGTTACAGAAAAATGTAGTCAGGACGGCAATCAAATTCCAACACATTTCCCAAAAACGCATTTCTGGGATTTTAACTGCAAACTCTCCTTCCAGGCTGCCTCTAAATCATCCTGGGCTTGACAGAGCTTAAGGCAGAAGCCCTCAGCCCTGGCCAGGGTCCCTAGAGGGCAGGCGAGTAGGAACACAGCCCCCACCTGCCTTCTCCACCCCCTTCCTCTGAACTGGCTTTGGGAAGCTTCCGCGTGCAG